TCCTTGATTGTGGGAGCCTAAGTCTGTGAGTCAAACCTTGGCAGGTCTGCTGGCTCCTCTCCCYCTCTCCCTGAAGCTGTTCTCCAGGTGGCTTCAGGGAATTATCTTACCAACTGCAGGGAGAACCTGGGGTTTGATTACCTGCCCTGTCAGTTCCTCCCTAAAAGAAAACACAGCAGGTAGATAGTAAAATCACCTAAACAGAAGATGTGAACAAAAAAATAAAGAAGGATCAGAAAGCACACTGACATCAATGAAGTCTATCTGCACCAAAACAGACTAGCTTTGGCCTGAACGTTAAAGGTAGTGTGGCGGCTTTTGCTCTTTGAGTAGGCAGTTTCACTGACAAGTTGCAGAGAGCTTCCAGGGAAAAATGGAGAAACTGGGAAGTTCCTGGACAGTTCTTGGTTCTGCCACTCACACACACAGTAGCCAGAAACGAAGCTGCTGGAGGACAATGTGTTTCCTCATCTGTAAAATGAGGATAATAACATTACCTACCTAGTAAGGGAACACATAAGTAAATACATGCCAAGTGTTTCAGAGTGCCTGACACGTGGTCAGCCCTTGGTTGGCATGGGTATTATAATAAACTCATCCTTTCAATAGCACAAAACTCCTAACTAAGATCATCTGACAGTGTTCCAAATGTATGTATACAACTAAACAATATTTTATTTTTATTTTGTTATTAATTATTTTGTTCCAGGATGCTTACCCAGCACTTTTTATTTTTTGAGAAGGCCTCACTAAGTTGCCTGGGACCTCAGCTAAATTGCTGAGRCTGGCCTCAAACTTGCAATCTTTTTGCCTTAGATTCCTGACTCACTGGGATCACTGGCATGCGACACAGTGCCCAGCTACCAATGATATTTAAGGAACCAGCTCAACTTAGTCTTTCCTACTACACACTGACAACACAAATAGTATGGAGATTTTTTTCCCACCAGCAAGCAAACAATTCTGTAGCACCACCTGGGTGCCCTCAAATCCAATTCAGTTCTGACACTCTACCAGGAGATGCCAGGTAAGGGCTCAGACCCCATGACTGCCTCACACACCAGATGCTCATCAAAAAGCCCAGGTTCTTTCACCTGTGTTTCTGATGCTGGCTATTAATCAGGGTTTCCATAAACCCTTCCTTAGATTTAATTATCTTTTTTTGAAAGGCTCACAGAACTCAGGGAAACACGTCTTATGCTTATTAGCTTTTTAAAAGGATATTACAAAAGCTGCTGATGAAGAGATGCAGAGGTTCACCTGTGGGAAGGGCCACAGCTTCCATGCTCTGTGGGCACATCATCTTCCGGCAACCTCCATCTGTTCAGCCTGACCTTTTAGAATGGTTTTTATGGAGACTTCATTATGCAAGCATGATTGAAGCCTGGAGAACAGTGTAGACATATGATAGGACAAAAAGAGTATGATCTAATGCTACTTCCGAAATCTTACTGCCAGTACCTTTTTATTCCTGCTTGTCTGAAACCTCCCTTCACTTGCATTTCCCAGAAAGGCCTGTCAGATTTTTCTTGGCCTCTGTACAGTATTCCTTTTTCCAGGTGTGGGGCAGGACCCCTTCTGTAATTGGGATCTTAATGATCTACATCAGACATGATCTTTTTATTCTTGTGTGTGCGCGTGCATGCKCGGGCTGGGGACCAAACCCATGGCCTCATACATGCTAGGCAAGCACTCCACCACTGAGCTATACCCTAGTCCAAGGTAATTTCATTATAGCCAACTCCAAGACAGAAAGGGAGGGGAAGATTATAGTTTCTATGGCCTGCCTTGAAGAGGGAGTTATAAGCCAAGCGGCATGGGAAACACAAATTTTATATATATATATATATATTTTTTTTTTTTTTTTTTGAGGGGTGAACTGGGTATTTTAGTACTCAGGGGCACTTGACCACTGAGCCAGGCTATTTTGTATTTTATTTACTGGCAGGATCTCACTCAGTTGCTTAGCACCTTGCTTTTGCTGAGGCTGGCTTTGAACTCACAATCCTCCTGCCTCAGCCACCTGAACTGCTGGGATTTCAGGTGTGTGCCACCGTGAAAATTCTATATTYTTGCAACGTAAGAATATTTATTTAGAAGTTTTCAATTGAGGGCTCGGGTTGTGGCTCAATGGTAGACAACTTTCCTAGCACGTGTGAGGCACTGGGTTCAATCCTCAGTACCACATAAAAATAAAATAAAGGTATTGTGTCCACCTACAACTAAAAAAATATATTAAAAAATTCTCAATTGGCAACAAATTCTGAAAAGAAACCTAGGGCAGGAAGCTAATTCCTTTTAAGGGATGAAATTCCAAGACACCCCCCAACCCCACAGTACCTTGGGTTGCAATACAGGTTGAACTCCCAATCTAGAACCCTAATCCTCTGGATATTTCAGTGAAAAAGGAAAACTATTGAGAGCCATAATTCTCTATCATATCTTCATTATGAAGCAGCTCTGGTACTTGAAATGCTTCTCCCTAGCAAGCTGGCTTCTATTTTGCCAACCCCTCTAGGGGGCAGTGTAGTAGTGAAAAGGGCCCTACAAGCAGGCATGGAGGCAGAATGGGTAAACCCAGCCCACACTGCTGTCCCCAAATGCCCTTCTTCCTCTGTATATAGAAGAGTCACACTGGCACAAAATGCAAATACCACTGTATGTTGAAAATGTTCTGTTTCAGGGGTAGAAGACCTCAGGGCAAGAATAGGGGTGGAGGGAGAGGATTTCCAAAGAACTGGGCAAGGTTCTATTTTGGTAGTGATCACAGGGTGTTCATTGTATAGTAATTCTTTGTTTGTATGTGGTGCTGAGGATCGAACCCGGGCCGCACACATGCCAGGTGAGCGCGCTACCGCTTGAGCCACATACCCAGCCCTTGTATAGTAATTCTTTATAGTCAATTCTACTCCTGTGACTTTTTCTCTTAAATCCAGCATATTATAAATAAAAACACACAAACATCAACTAACAATTTCAATTTTTAATAATGGAAACATTTTGCTATTCCAGAAAAAATTTCAGGGGAGAAAAATCTTCCCTATAAAAATAAACTCATCAAAATTATAAATATTATAACGTTTTTACTTCTGCAATTTAAAATGCTCCCCTGCAATACCACCCCTTCATATAACACCTTYCCTGTACCATCACATTTTGAAGAGAAAACAGTATTACAGCAAAGCTCAGTTTTAATTTAACATAACATTTGTAAAATGACTTTTTAAAATCTTTGGCCTTCAGAGCCTTTATTCTTATTTTACAACATTAAAAATGCTGCTGCAGTAACCAGTGTTTGGGAGAGAACATCACTCTTCTAGAACCATGAACAGATAGAATTTTAATACAGTAACTTCCAAATTGTAACTTGTAGTGCACATGACAGGGAGGTTTGGATAAACACAGAGGAGAATATGCCTATTTCAGACAATCTACTTCAAGTAAAAAAAAAAAAAAAAAAAGAATTCACAGATACCCATCAGCTACTACTTCAGGTTCTAACAGTGTCATGAATCTGAGAAACAAATGCTTCACAAACTATAAGTTTACTGGGATGAGTAATTAAAAGACCAGGTGGGTGATAACAGTATATTCAAACCCAATCCACAGTCTGAATAGGAAAACCAGTATTAAAATCATGAAGGCATTCCCTGAACAACAAAGGCCAAGTGTTGGATGACAATGTCACTAAAACCTCATTGATGCACTAAAAAGAAGTTACATGCAAAATTAAACAATGTGTGCCATGCATAATTTATAGCTAGTTCTACTTTTTCCCCCCACAACTTTCCTTAAAAGCTTAGGAAGATCTGATTGTCTCAGTAACTTTATGTGGCACAGTGTAACCAACATGTAAATCTGCCTCCCACAAGATGGGTATTCTCTGAAAAGTCAGAAGAGCCACCAAGGGGGAACAGATAATGCAGTAAAAGGCACAGTTCACTAAGGAGGCAAAGAACTGAAGCACCTTGGAATTTCAAAAAGAATCCATTAGGTGTCACCAACGTGTTAACAATTCCTTGGGAATTTATAAACAAACAAATCTAGATTATAAATAGTGACTGTAAGGCCCCACTGGAACCACAGCACACCTTCCCCGCTGTTCTCAGATCTGTAAGTCACTGCAGAAGATGAGGTTATTTTGCCTGTATTAAGGAAGGCTTCTATTGCACATGCATTTCTTTGGTTGAACATGCACTTTTGTTCAATAGTTCCACTATGAACACCCGGTGTGTGGTCAGCTGAGTGTGGACTTCCCTCGATCCTGAGGGCCCTCCTCCTTGCAGTCAAGTCCTTCAGAACTGAGGATGATGTGGTAGTGCTGGGTCTTTACTCAACATCCCTCTTCTATAGCATGTGAGAACAGAAGAAAGGGAGAGGGAAAAGGAGGGAGGAGAGGGGGGAGAAGGAGGAAGTAATGAAGAGGAAAAGGAAGGAAGGGTGGAATAAAAGAGAAGGGAATGGTTGTCACAAGTTGGATGTGAGCCCTGTACTTGATAAACCTCCTGGCTGATAATCGAGGAGAAAACATCTGCCCTTACCCAAACTCCTTTTCAACTTTGAAAACAACAGCGGGGTGAGGGGTAGACACAACTATATTACATAAATTTAACTGACCAGGCCCCACCTACACAGACCAGGCACACCAGTAGGACCTTTCACTTGAAGACGGGAGAACCTGGGTGTCCAGGAACGGAGGAGTCAGATCCAGCTGCATGAGACCCACCTTGGGCTCACCTCCGTCCACCTGCCTAACTCTCCAGAGTTGCTGGGTCCTTCCTTGGGGTTAGCTCCTACCTCTTTGGCTCTGCCCCACATTTTTCTCATTGGGAAATCAAAGTAATCCTAAAAAGCATTTAACATCTCAACACTGAATGCTTCTCATCTAACTCATTTACAAGCAAATAACAAGGCCTTTCTTTTCTACCACCAACTTACCCCCTGCCACCTTCCTCAGCCCTCAGAGCCCTCACCTCTACCCAATCCTTTTTCCAAACTTGCTTTTACTTTCTTTGTCAAACTCCTACAAAATCCTTCCCAAATTCCCCAGAGTTCCTAGATTCCTGTGCCTTCAGTTTCACATGGATAGATTCCTTTACTGTTAGAAAACAAAAATACAGACAGGTAGTTTCAACATAGGACAAGTATTCAGAGACTCTTTGTTAAGCTTTTAAAAACTCATTTGCACATCCTAAAGCTTAACATCATCACATAATTAAAACAACTAGGAGAGAGTAAGGAAAAAAAAAAAAAAAACAAAACCCAGAGTTCATGCTTTCAAGCACTCTAAAATGCTCCTGATGCCTACAGGTTCGCAGCTTGCAAGAGGTAACACCGCCATGCCGTAACAGAACAAGCTCGCAGAGTCCCTTACGCAGGATGCATGAGGTGCGGCATGCTGCGTGACCAGGCTTTGGGAACTAAGTCAGAGATAAAAGGGGAAGACCCTAGCATCATGGGGCAAGAAAACAGCTCTCTGAAGAGAGGCACTTGCTGCTCTTTGAACATGGGTCCCAAGTGGGGCCTTCCTGGCAGATGCTCCCGGCGTTAGCCAGGCTTCCACACCTCGCCAAGGGCTTCTTCCAGCTTGAGTCTGTAGGCCGCGTAGCGCCTCTTCAGGTTCTGCAGCTGCTCATCTTCCTCCTTGTCCAAGATGCGCAAGAAATTCTGCAGTTCTGGAAGGCTGAAAGCTTCCCACTGTGAGAATACAAAAAAGTGCCAGGTATTTAACTCAGAGTCCAGAGGGAAAGCTGTCCTGAGCAAGTGGCGGTGTGGCTGCCCTCCCTTCTTGGCCCAGCTTCTCAGAACCCTTGTTTTCTTACTCTTCACTCCCACTCAGCTCACTCCCAACAGCCCCTAGCTCCCCTCCCTGCTTCTTTCTTCAAAATGGCTGAGGACAAAGACTTCCACATCCCTACCTCCATTAGATACCTGCCTCATTCCTCACCTGATCTGACCCCCCAAGGCCTCAGAAACATCTCTCTGCATCTTACCTTGATCACCATCTTCACTGCCTGCTTTCTCACCTCCCACAATCAATCTCATCACCTCCCAAACACCTCTCTAACACCCTTTCTCTCCAACTCTGCTCATCCCTAGTGTGGCTGCCATCATTATGGCACCCTGGGACAGCCTACCTGGCCTCCTCACTGCACACTTGAGCCCACCAATCTGCTCCCCCAACAGCCAACCCTTTATAAAATACAAATTTGGTCATGACTCTCCTTGCTTGGATGCAATCAACAGGCTCCCTGGGTTGTTTAAGTCTTGAAAGACCCCAAAACCTCTCCAACCCCGTCTCTCTCACACTGTGCCTCACTCACTACCCAGGGCTTTGGCACATAGTCTCCCTGCTCCACGGAACCTGCCAAACTCCTACCCACTCTTCAAGGCTCATCTTAAATGCCACTGATTCCATGAGGCCTTTCCACAACTCCTCCCTGCCCATCTAAGTCTAGGAGTTCTCACTGAGCACTGGTGGCCCTGATCACAACCAAGATTTTGGAATTATTAATAATTATTTGCTTAGTATCTATCTCACCTACACCTCACCTACATTGCAACTTCATACTTCTCACTCTTTGGGGTTTGTCTCTTGCCCTGAGGCTGACTTCTGTTTCCCTAACAGTACTTGGTACACTTAGTAAGCACAAAATACACTTTTATTTTATTTTATTTTATTTTAAACTTAAGCAGTGAATATCAAGGACAGTATTTGGCATCATCTGGCGAGTTTTTTTCAAAGACGCCCTCCTAACCCAAATAGGACCCTAGGTCCTGGCTGCGAATCACTGCCAAAGTTAGAAATGCTGTCTAATGAGGTAGAATTAGTTAGATAACCCAATATAAATGCACAGAGAAGAACATGAAAAGAACCACCAAAGAAGAGCATGAAAAAAAAAACACCAAAGAGGTTAAATGATAAGAAGGCTTCCCGGAGGTGAACTAAAGCTGGTTAGTAAAGAAAATGGGCTGGGTGGCGCCCACCTATTATCCCAGTGGCTTGGAAGGCTGATGCAGGAGGATTGCAAGTTCAAAGCCGGCCTCAACAACTTAGTGAGACCCTAAGGAACTCAGTGAGATCCTGTCTCTAAATATAAAATAAAAAAGGGCTAGGGATGTGGCTCAGTGGTTAAGTGCCCCCGGGATCAATCCCTAGTACCAAAAAAAGAAAATGAGAAATCAAGGAGTAGGAGAGCACAACTTTCTATATTAGAACACTCTGTTAATATGGAAAAATTTTCACATTTCATTTTTAAAAACAGAGACATTATAAAATCTTTTCTCTCTCCCACCCCTCACAGCTTATACAAAGTTTCTTCCCCCAGTTTAGCTTCCTTCAATAAGTGAAAAGCAAACACTGAACAAAGGTTTAATAAAGTAGTCCAGAACATTAAAGCACAATTCTAATTTCAAAACACAATTCCTCCCCAATGTTGCTCTAGCTGCACTAAACTATGTGAAATGCTGGGGAAAAAAAAAATCCAATAACAAGAGGTGTAAAATGTGGATGAGACTACACTTGTGTCCAGAGTAGGTCTGGAGGAACGCTGCCCACCTTGCAAAGCTTCTGCACCCAGTTTTCTCCCTAGAATGACTGAATTTCTTAAAAAGCTTCAAAATGATAGAAGCAAAACAATCTTCCTAAAACTCCCTGGAGTAATTCTAATTTAGACTTATATATAAATATACTATATATCACATCTATATATTCTCCAATTTGTGATTCAAAACTAAGTTACCTAGGGCCTCGCCTTTTAAAGGGTTTAGTTCCTCTTTACAGATTTTAAAACGGAGGGCAGGAAAAACTAGGTCATTTTCCAAATACAGCAAACAAAAGGAAACAGAGTCCTGTTTCCTAACTTTTAAGCTGGAAACCCTGTTTTTGCTGTCCCATGCAACATTTCACACCATTTCCTGTTCTTAGCAGAATACTGAGACCCAGAATTCAGGAAGTTTGCTCAAGTGTCATTTAAAGTTGACAACTGATGTAAAGGACAGTCCAAAGTGTTTTTTGTTTTTGTTTTTTATGGTCTAAATACAATCCTCCCAGGAGAGAAAATGTCAAATGATGTAGACATATGTAAAACATCATTTCTTAATCATTTGGGCAAGGGGGAAAAATATTTTAGAAAGTTAAATGTCTTCTGTGGCAAAGAGATCACGTTTCCTTTTATTTCCCTTTAGAATGAAATTAGCCTGGAGACTTTTCTTAGTAGCAGACACTGGGAGTGTCAACTTTCAAAGTTTAGCTGGCTCAGAGTCTTGTGGAGGTGGGAAGGGCTGAAAATGCCTCTCTGGATACCAACAAGTAAAAAGTCGCATTTCCTCCCACCCAGGAGAAGCGCAGACCAATACAGTACTTCGAGGAAATTACACTATGGATTAATTTTGGGTTTATTTCTGATGATTCAAAATATCTCCCTCTTGCATGTCCCCCACCCCACTCGGCTTCCTCCTCCTCGGTCAAGTCACTAGACGAGAGCAATAAAACAAGGCCAGCTGTTCTGTGTAGTTTAAAGTCACATCACACAATCACTTACCTCTCCAATTTCATGTTCCCGAAGAACAAAACTAAGTGTGTCGGTTCTGGGCCCTGCTACCAAACGCAGGTAGAGTGGATGTTCCCGGTCTGAGAGCTTGCAGGCATAGACTAGGCAAAGAAACAAGCAGCACCACGTCACAAATGCGTTTTTTTCAGCACTCCTCGGCCCCATGCCCCTTGCCACCCTCTCCTTCCAATTCAATGCGTCCATGTCTACCCATCCTCCCCTCAGCTTAGTACCAGCAGACCACAGGGGAGCCAAATGGATTCCATTTCCATTCTCTTGGCCCAATATAAACTGTACCTTGATTAAGGAGGAAATAATTTCCAAGAATAAATTTAAACAGCTACTAGTCCCCAAATATGCTTTTAATTAGTTATGTTCCTTTTTTAGAAAGCAAGATAAGAAGCATTTTTAAATTTTTTGGTACTTGGGATTGAACCCAGGGGTACTTAACCATTGAGCCACATCCCCAGCCCTTTTTAAATTTTGAAATGGGGTCTAAGGTACCTAGGGCCTTGCTGAGATTATAGGCATGCGCCACTGCACCTGGCAATAAGAAACTTTTTAAAAGATTCTTCAACCCCTTTGACAATGAAAATATATTGTCCAAAGAATATGAATTCAAAGCTCTTGGAACAAACCTCTACACAGATACGTAACTGGCAACCGCAAATGAATGAAGCATCAGAACAGAAGCTCTGGTGGCTTTACAACAGTGTCTCCCTTCTCCCTTCTCCCTTCTCTCTCTCTCTCTCTCTCTCTCTCTCTCTCTCACACACACACACACACACACACAAACACACACACAAGCGCGCGAGGTATTGCCTATGCTGTTGAAAGATTTGTCAGTCATTTCAACAAGATGCTTTCACTTTCAGACTGCACAGCTGAAGTCCAGATGAGCTAACACCGAAGCTAGCAAGATAAAAATGCCACTGGAGCAGAACTACATTATTTGGGTACTTCCAAGTGCAACTGCTTTGTAGGTGCCAATTTCCCTGTAGATGCACGCGTCTCCCAGGCTGCTGAGCCTGTGTTCTCTGATGGGACCTTTGACCTCTTTACCTTTGTATTCTGCAGGGCCTATCCCCATGGTATGTGTTAAACAAATGTACTCATATTCAGCAACTAGCTATGTTTCATGCTGTATAACTAAAGAACACTACTATCAAGTAAGGTCAATATATTTTCTTTCATGGCGAATTTAGGCTTTACTGAGAAAAACTAGAGCAAGCTCAAAGAGTTCATGACTTACACATACTATTTCCAAATTAGCATAAATTGCTGTTGTCCACCACAGGTATCAATTTCTGCTAGACTGTCTGACCTACAATATCTTATTCAGTTTCATGAAGTAATCAAAAATTCCTTCTACCCACTGAACATGGATATGAAGCTCAGACAGACCCCAGATCAAAATGCTATTCACTCATTTTATGTGCCTCTAGAGGCAGGGTGCCAAAATGTCCCCATGCAACAACCAGCTAAGGAAACAGAAGTATGCAGGGTTGGGCCACTTTGATCAGTGAGTTGAAATGTGCTGATATGGGCCTCCCCATCCTCAAGGTTTTTGAGAATACAGGTCCAGCAAGCCACTGCGTGTGCAGATGAGCATCAAATGTAAATCATGCTACTGAAAACTTCAAGCACAGAAATATTCTTTTGTGTCTTAAAGGGCATTAAAATCAAAGCCACTATGCTCCCACTAATCAAAGCTCCTTCTCTGTGCATATCAACAACTCCTACAGAAACGCCCAACACATGCAGATGATTCTAAGCTCCTCAGACCTGCAAATGTTCAACTCAAAACCATGAACAGCCAGGAAACATTAAGTGTCTATCATGATCACCAAAGCTTCCAGAACTTGCCCCCAAGTGGGGGTAGTTTGACACAGGTAAAAAATAGGTCTTCCGGCTCATGAGGACAAAGGACAGAAAGAGAAGCAGAGACCATCTTCGTTAGGTGAGGCAGCATACCTTGGTCTTCCCTATGACAACGCTTATAAAGTGCAAACTTGGCCGGGYTCTCAGTCACAAGAAACTTTTTGAGCAGAGCCTCGATGACTTCACCGACAGTGTTGGTACTGCTGATGTGAAGTGTGTTCACACAGCCAATGCTGCTGGAGGTGACTGTCCCGGCGCTGGGAGGAGTCTGTGGAGGTCTGCAGAGTTCCATCTGCACTTTAATGAAACCAGTGTAAATCCCATTTGAGTTCTGAAGAGGGAAGAAGAAAAGCCACTCTCAGCTATGTGGTCAGCACAGGAGTGTATCAAAGCCCAACAGGAAGCTCTTCCTCTTGCTCTTTTCACTTGGAGCTTTGCAGCACGACTTCACTGAAAACTTCCCCCAAGGGAATGACCTCGGAGGAAGGTTAACACACCGCAGCAAAGCGCCTGCAGAGGCAAAGTCTGCTCAGCAGATGTGCCAACCGCGAAGATGCCCTCCCCTGCTCAGCCACCAGCCCCGGAACCAGGGCCTCCAAACTGCAGGTGAAAGGTCAGTGGCCATTTGTGAGCTTATAGCCAGTGGAACAGATGCTAGCCAAACCCACATGAATGAAAGGTCGACTCAATGCTTAAAGGAAACGGCATCCCCATCTGATGACTAGCTATGACCCCAAAAAAAGCCCACAGTTAGGACTCTGCAATACCCAAGAATGGTGAGCTGACAAGAAAACAGGCTGTTTTGCTCCTAGTGGCTACTAGGTACATACTAGTCCGTGTTAGCATGGGGTGCATTTCTTATGCTCTAAGTAACATATTTTTTTTTTCTAAACTTCAAGCTACTATGTGACCTAAAGATATTACAAATATTCATCTTAATTTATAGTAGAAGTACTATGTCTCAGTTGCCAAAACAGTAATAATGGTCTTGTCTTCATTTTATTTTAGGGAGGAAAAAAAAAAAAAAAACGACAGTTGTGTTTTACTAAAACAAGTCATCAGGTGTCATATACAAATACCACAGTTCAATGTTCAAGACCTCCTTCGTGGCCCCTTATTTTTCTTCCTTTACAGAAGATGAATCTGCAACACTAATTCCCTTGTTCGTGCATTGTACAACACTTAAAATTTTTTATCTTGGAAAGAATATGGATATTTGCATCTGCTTTAATCTCCATGGGGAAAGAAATAAAAACCATGGCAGGGGGCTGGRGATGTGGCTCAAGCGGTAGCGCGCTCGCCTGGCAAGCGTGCGGCCCGGGTTCGATCCTCCAGCACCACATACAAAAACCATGGCAGGCGGAACTTTTCTCCTTTGATGAAAAATGTTTGAAAAAGAACTATCATTATTGAAATAATGAAGAATAATCTTGGGATTATCTGTTCCTCTCCCCACTTTTGGGCACACTGCCACCAGGATGGGATCCTTTATTAAGGTTTCACAGTTAAAAGCTCCTCCTCCCAAGGGTTCCTGAATTCATTTGTTTAAAACAGGCCATCTGTCTTTTAATGAACTCACTTCGCAAGCAATAGAGTGAGAGGCAGGGGTTCAGGGGCCCTGGAAAGTGGCACCAAGGGATGGCAGGAGCTGCAAGGGAGGTCGCCAGATGGGAGGGCAATCAGTGAGTGAGGACAGAGGCCAGTTCATTTTAGAGGAACATGAATGAATACTGTAGCTCTGCTGTCGATCCGTTTCATCACCCCCAAGCCCTGACCTCCTCCCTCCTACATCCCCACTCCCCACGGTACATCAAACAGTGTGGTGCAACCTTGTAGATGCCTGTAACAACAACATAGGAAGCTGAATATTATGTACCTATCTTACACTGACAGCCAGGGGAAAAACATCTTAGCTCAACATACTCAATCCATGGGAACAAAATCTTCCTGACACTTTCATGCTTATTTTACACAAGACAGAATATACCTGAGGTCTTATTAGAATCTGGTTACCATCTCTCTATATATATTAGATAATCTAGAAAATCCTTTGGGGAAAAGAAAGGGGTCACAATATCTTTTAAAATAAAATTTTACCCTTTTTTAATATTTACTTTTTAGTTGTAGTTGTGAATACCTTTATTTTATTTATTTATTTTTATATGGTGCTGAGGATTAAACCCAGGACCTCACACTCACTAGGAGAGCATTCTACCGCTAAGCCACAACCCCAGCCCCAAAATTTCATCTTTTTAAGGTTAACCTAACCACTGATTTTGAGACAAAGCTACTTCAAAATACGGATTTAATTTGAAAGCTGCAGAAATAGTCTTATCTTTCTATTCTGCATACGAAATACTATTTGAATATTTTAAAATACATAGATTATACCACCAACAACTTCTATTTGTTTTTAGACAGGTGACAGCCTAAATAGTATTGGGGTACTTACCAAGGTCATCTTCAACTTGTCTGTGACAGCTAAATTATATTTATGAACTTTCTCTTTGATTTCCTCTTTGCTGAGGTAATTGTGAATTTCCTTCTCTTTCTCCACATCCTAGAAAGAAAATCAAGAGCCATGTCACACATTAATGATCATAGAAAAAATGCAGATAAGCCAGGATTCTTTTTATATTCCACATAAGAGCACCTGGGAGCACTTTACCCTCTTTATCTCAAACACACACACACACACATTCTTTTCTCTCTCTCTCTCTCTCTTCCTAACTCTCCAGTCTCATCCACCAATATGGTCCTTATTCCTCAGACTACAGTCTTCCAAAGGCATATAGCAAGTAAAACAATCTGTCAGAAGCTAAAAGCAACACTTCATTAAATATTATTTTGCAGAACTGTTTTTGTAAATTTCCCTTCTACAAAAAGATCCTTCCCCCAGAGAGTCTCCTAATCTGGCCATTTCTATTTTAAACAATATTTAAAGACATACACCAAAAGCTTCTCTTTAGCAAATTCTGTGAACATTAGGATCTTAAGAGCTCTAAGGTATCCACAAAAGTACAGTAGTTAGTAGGTATTTATTAATCAGCACTAATCACTGACCCGTCAAACTATATACAACTAACAGAAGGTAATTTGTCTTCCAAACAAATCCCTATGCCAAGAACAAGGAGCATGACTCCATCTACCCACTCCCACCTCCACTCCAATCTCATCTACCCTCACCTTCCCACACCTTGAAGAATTCATTAATACTGTGAAGAATTCATTGTCTAAAAAGCTCAACCAGTGCATGACATTATGCAGTAGCTAATATGTGGTCACGAATGGCCAAACTGTAGTATTTTGTGACCACCACAAAGACACGTATACCAGGCACTCAACTCGTATTACATTTAATTCTCCCAACAACCAACAAAGTAGGCATTATTTTTTAAAATATTTATTTATGTATCTTTAGTTTTAGGTGGACACATTATTTTGTTTTTATGTGGTGCTGAGGATCGAACCCAGTGCCTCATGCATGCCATGTAGGCACTCCACCACTGAGCTACAACCCCCCTCACTCCCCTCTACCCCCCCACCACCCTCCCCCTGCAACAAAGTAGGCATTATTACTCCAGTTTCCAGATGAGATCAAGTTCTAGGAAGTAAATTAACCTGCTAAAAGAAAGAAACTGTTCAGTGGAAGTGGCAGAACTTGCCTGAAGCCTGACCTCAAGGCTCAACAACCCTCACTAACTCCAACCACTGAGACCACTAAGAACCTCCACAAGGGTTTTCTCATTTAATCCTCTCCCGAATGAGCTAATCAGCATCCACATGTTGCAGATAAGAAGAGAAGATTTACAGTCAAGTGGCTTATCCAAGGACAACCCCACTAGTACCAGACCAAGCTGCATTTTAATCCAGGTCCTCTGTTGTTTGCACTGAACTGGTCTCCAAGATTCTGGTGTAGGTTAACATTTGAAAACTCAAAGAAAAGCTGCACAATCAGATTCAAACCTAAATAGCAACTTTGAAAGACAGGGGGACCTAAAAATCTTGAAGACCAATTAAAATCTGATAATTCATATTCCCCAAACATGCTCCCCCGCACCCCCCAAAAAAATAGGAATTTTGAAAATATGCCTGCTCAGCCAGACTGGATATTCTCCAGGCAGAACATGCTCCCATCTACTCACTGGGAGCTAAAGTTATAAATACACCAGGAATGGCCACCCCGCAGCGGGCAGGAATGGAGAATAGAGTATAAAAGAAATTGTGAGCCACTGAGTCTCAAGTTCTTTGATTTTAGACCCTAAGAGGATGCCTAACTATACATTATCTCAGCATTTTCCATTTCAGCACTGTCCTGGCAAGTCTGGGGGGTTCAATGTGCCTGGTAATACTGGAGAATCACTGTAAGCCCCTTAAGAGCATTCTGTTTGCTCATGGAAAACCCCAGCACAAATCTTATTTTTGGTGTCACTGGTTAGGGGGGAGAAGAAAGCTGTGGTTTAACTTTTCAAAAACTTCAGTGACTATTTCCAAGGAAATTTAAAACACGTATCCCATCTTGGCTTGCTCTGCTCTTTCCAGTCCACAATTAGCCACCTACTGACCACCACTAAAGAAGAAAATGAGGTAGCCTTTGTCTCTTAAGTATTAACAACTATTCAAAGACTTTCAACACATACACAATTGTTCCTCAGGATCAGCAGCATATTGGTTCCAGGATGCTTCCCCGCTTCATACCAAAGTCCTCAGAAGCTCAAGTCCCTTATACAAAATGGAATAGTATTTGCATATACCCTTTGCTTATCCTGCTTCATACCTGAAATCATCACCAGATCACTTACAATACTGAATACAATATAAATGTTATGTCAACAGTTACAATGTACTGTGGGTTTTGTTGTTGGTTTTGTTTCGTTTTGGTACTGGGGACTAAACCCAGGGGTGCTTAACCACCGAGCCACATTGCCTGTCCTTTTTATTTTTTCCTTTGAAATAGAGTCTCGCTAAATTGCTTAGGGCCTCACTAGGTTGCTGAGGCTGGCTCTGAACTTGCACTCCTCCTGCCTCAGCCTTCCAAGTCACTGGGATTACAGATGTGTGACACCAGGTTACTTGATAACTTATAATATCTAACACAATATAAATGTTATGTCAACAGTTATAATGTATTGTTTAGGAAATAAAGGCAAGAAAAAAGTTTATACATGTTTTATTAATGATGCAACTGGCTGGTTGAATCCACAGATACGTTTCCACAAATACAAAGGACAGAGTACTTAAAAGAAAACAATAAGGGACTTGTGCAGTCACCGATATGACATGAGAAGGTGGGGTGGAAAGCACACTGCTCCAGCAAGACCCAGGATCCAGCCCCTAGTCTGTCACCAGCATACAGGGCTCTGGGGTTACCAACCTTTCTGAGCTGGTTCTCTCACTTCCTTCCAATGAAAAGACTAGAGTAAGTCACTTCTGCAGCACTTCCTGGTCTAATAAAGAATCCATCTGCAAAGATCTGATGCTGCTTTCACTGCGGTGATTAAAGAGGCAAAACTTCCACGTGAGGACTGGGACTAGAGGTAGGCAAGGCCAGGGTCCCCTCCCAACACACACACACACACACACACACACAAACACACACACATACACACCCCAAATAGTTAACTACATGTATACCGTAGCAAACACACATCCTAAGGGCTTCACCTAAGTGAGAACTCTTAAGAATGAAGAGAAGGAAAGGGGGTGAAGGCTGTGTATTAAGATTAAGAGCAAAGAAAAAGTTAAGTAAAGCTTGTTAATTCTTCTTTACAGGTTTTGCTGATAATACTGAACTTAGCATCCATCCTTAAGCCCCGCCCCCTCCACATCAGCAGGCCACAGTCAACAGTTTTAGAAGCTTGAGAAAAGTCAGAAGAGCCAGCCAGTTTGGAAAGAGCRACTTCTCCTGGATCACTCATATGTGGATAACTGAGATACTCTTTTCTAACAAGTCTCTCTTCTTGTCAGAATCAAAACCAAGCAAACTGCAGGGAGCAGAAACAGAAAAGAGCTGGACCCAAGCATCTCCAGGACCCTCTCCAGGCTAAACATCTCATCATTAAAAGAAAGTAAATCCCAGGAAAGCAGCTAGAGCCCAGAGGGCTGTGAAGCCGTGCTGGCAGGCCAACTCATGCAGCAAATGTTCGCTGAGCATCTGCTGCGTGCCAGGCACCTGCCTAAGTGCAGGGGACCTTGCAAGAAGATGCCACCCCACCTCACACTGCTTACTGTCTACGCCCAGCACAGGCTGAGTACCATCAAGGAAAGCCAAAAAGAGAATGCTTCCAAAGTGATAACCAAGCAAGCTGCCCTTGGAGGTCTGGGCAGCAGGAAAAAGCCAGCTCAGGCCCTGGGGCTAAAGACACTGGTTTCAGTTAGCCTCCAAACCAAAGAAAGACCCCTAACTTGGAAAACCTCCAAATTGTTCGAACTTTAAAAAAAAAAAAAAAAAAAAAAAAAAACTCCCTTTTTAGCTAATCTGGGCAAGAATCCTCCTTCCTCCAAATACACTGAGCATTTGTAAGAACTGCAATTCTCTGGAATACAGTCGTTATGGGTAGGAAGATGGGGGTGGTGGTGATTTTAACCCAGAAGGGCAAAGGAGGTAAAGGGGGGAATGCAAGGAGAGGCGAGGGTTAAAAGGTGGTACTGAAGGCGTGGCACAGATGAAACACTCAGAGTGAGCATGAATCTTTCATTACAAGGCTAGAGAGGAAATGGCACAGTGAGCAGCAATCCGTGAATAATGCATTGGTTATTGTTCTTGGCAGCCAGGGAGGGTCTGACGCCATGCCTGAGTGTCTATTTGGCAGGTTGCAAGTCATCTTTGTTTCAGTCAGTTTTGTTTTATATTCCCCGACCTCCAGTTCCTCARAGAAGGAGTTCTTCCATGCAAAATTACAAAAATTACCACCTCTAGACTCTTTCCTCGTATTTTCAGCTAGTGAATGCTCAAGAGCTGCTCTTGGGTTAGCTTTAGTTCCTGGGTGGGGTCACATCACAGTTTGTTTTTTTAACCAGTAAACTTTCTCAGAAGGGACACACCCTGTACCTCATAAATGCGCAGGCATGGCCTGCTACCACAGGATGGCAAATCAGGCTTTCCAAGAATATACCCAACAAGCCTGGGTAAAGGGCCTAAGAATTACTTGTACTCTTCTGTAAAGACAATTACAAATATGCAACAACAGGGCTGGGATGTGGCTCAGTGGTACAGTGCTTGCCTGGCATGCCCAGCACTACAGAAAATAAAATCACAGTTCTCACATTTTAGCTCTATGATCAAAGTGCAAAAAGGCCCTCATGTTTTAGCTGTGCGACCAAAGGCAAGTTATTTAACCTCTCTGAACCTGTCTTCTTATCTCTGTAAAATATGCAAAACAATTATACAACTGTAAGAAGATATAACATAAGCTCATATTCAACAACTATTTACTGAGTGCCTACTGGGGCCAGGCTCTGTGCCAAGCACTTCAAGCTCAGAGAGACAGTTGTAGTTCCTGCCTCTCTGCCTCTTCTTGGCTGACAGCCTGGTAAAGTTTGCCTTACTCCCCACCCGAA